AGAAAAGCGTTGAAACCTGCAAACCGACTGATTCCGACAAATATATGGTAATGAATGAAGGCAAATATATAAACGAAGAAATGAGTCGCGAGCACACCCGAAAAGTACGACCTCGCCTGTTAGTCGGTGTCAGAAAGGGGCTTGGCCTCGAACAGAATTAAATGCAGTTCTGTCATGTACAACTGATAGGATATTGAGTTGAAGGAGATGCCGACTGGAATATGTAATTCAGGTACCATTGCCAAGATGTTGAAGAAGTACGGAGAGTGTCATTTGGAGAGGTTTTCATTCAGGAGAAGAAAATGTAAGATGTTACTATTGAATCCATTGATAATAAACTTTCGAGGAATGCAACGAAAGAAATCTAAAATGGACGAGAGGAAAAAACGGATAATGTCTCAAGGACTTTCCCAATGGGATAAATTTAGAACCGGATGGTAGATCACATGATGAAACCCGACAAATTGTATTTCCCTCCCATTGGATTCAATTCATCCAACCATACGAAGTAATAAATTCTTCTTCTGAAAAAAGCATAGGCGAGATCGGACGACGGCATCGAGGATTAGATGGGACGCTTACGAACTGGGCTTAATCAACCCAATCAGATTCTAATCTTCTTATCAGAATCCATGACTTCTGTTACTCAAGATCTCGGCCAGACCAAAGATTCTTTGACCTTGAACCGAATCATATCGTCCCAACATCCAAATACCTCCATCCTTTATCCCGTAAAAAGCAATCTATTTGTAAAGCCACGCCATAGATTCGGCCATTTCCACTCTTTGTTTGGTCTCGAGAATCATGAATCCCTATTAAGGTCTTGATAGCGTGCGAGCGTGGGTAGCAGCAGATAGAGGAAATGATAAACCGGGGGAGTTTAAAAACCTTTTTACGTTACTATTGATTGGCTATAGACAGATTGGGTGAGATGTGCATGTTGTTGTTTGTGTGGGGGACCTTCCCAAGTTCCCACGATGCATGCACTCTGTGTGTGTTCGATAGAGTCTCGAGACCAGACCTTTTCTTGCCATGTCTGCAATGTCTGGGTTTGTCAGACCCTGTCTGCGTGGTTTTCGGTGGTGAAACAAGATATCAGGAAAAAGAGAATTCCATTCGAAAGGAAGGGCTGAAGATAATCGTAAGACATTTCATCCATGTGAACGGTATGGAATGGCTGAAAGCTGGCTCAAAAATTCTCCCGTCTCGTACCGTCTTGTAGATATGTATACAGGAGCATCATTTTGCGCGGGATGTGACTTGAGTGACTTGAGTGACTTGATTGACTCGATTGAGTCAAAGATGATAATCACGATAGTCAAGCCCGCTCGGCGACAGCGATAGCATGATGGAACCACAGATTATTTTTTCTGTAGATCCATTGAATTTGTATGGATGGACACATTTGACCAAACTACTTTTTTGCATTCTCGGACCAGGAAATGCACTACACTCGTACTAGGTAGACGGACTAATATAGTATGCATTGCCCCTGGATTGTGACGATGCGGAACAATTTGCGAAAAGGGAACGTCAAGATGCAAAGAAAGAAGGTACGAAGTAGAGGAAGTGCAGTCCAACCAGCATCTGGCTCAAGGAGGATTATTTTTGCGGTTCTTGTTTTTGACTTTTGGGATTGTCAAACAATTAACTTAATGGGCGGTGATATGAAGATGATTGCCACATATAATTTTACATCATACTAGATACATGATACATGATACCAGAACACTCCATGACAGGGAATCTTTCAAGGATGAATCTTTTAGTAGGGTAATATATGCCTCAAAAGTTGCAACTTTGTACGGAGGACATGTATCCAAAGGGTTTGAGTGTACATGGGATGTCAAGAAACGGGACTGGGGATATAGTCTCAGACTCTAAAAGCAACACACACACACACACATCGAGACAGATCGTATATTAATGTTAGTCTGTGGCTGGCATTGGGCAACGAGTGGATGGACGGGTGAATGGGGGTTTGGGACAAAGGAAAGATTGATATCAGATATCTGGGTGGGTATGGCAGTAGAGGATTACAATGAAAGAGTTTCTGCTTCTTTGTAATGCACACACGTAGGTCGTAGGTCGTAGGTCGTAGATAGATGGGATAGATGGGATAGATGAGATAGATGACTCTCTCTCTCTCTCTCTCTCTCTTACTCCATATGAAATCATCCATTCCATAAGCCCGCTCAACAAGCCCCTCCCTTGAGAAGCACCAAGAGTCATAGTTCCAATTTTATTCATGTGCTTGATTTGATTCTTTGGATTCATTTGTTTCTTTCCATTCTAATTAGGTACTGAATACTCTATTGATTTACTTAATTGCCTTTAATATTCACTATGTCAACGCCTCTCGACATTTAATCCGACCCCTGTAAATGACCCATTCTCAGCCATTCTACCCAGGTATTTGCGGTCTGCAGCCTGCAGGGCGTAGGTGTATGAGCCACGAGCGTCGAACCTACAAAAAGTTCTTCTTCCTCTAGCCGATGTTCCCCACTCTTATCTACGCTGACAATCATAGCCAATTCTATTTCGGTTTCCATTTCCATATCCATTGCCATTTCAACATCTAGTGAATTAAAAAATCACACATACATAAACATTCCCAGTTCCTCTTTCATACCTTTTCTCTTTCTCTCTCTTCCCCAAATCCCCCACACTCTTCTTCCCTACTCTTAGGACTTTGGAAGTCTTGCAACCACAACCACAAAACCACAACAATAACAAATACCCCTTCACCACTCTCGATTCTTTGCTTTTGACGCATTCCTCTCTATTCCTCCCTTTATTTTCTCTCTTCCATATTCTCATAATAAATCCGCAATCATGGCTGGCTCAACAACTGTTTCCTATACGGCGAACGTAAGTTTTCCATTCCTTCAAAGATAACACAATCTTTGTGCCTCACAACCATACCCCGCTATCGGCGCAACAAAACAGAACACTAACCTTGACTTTTGATCATTATAGCTCATGAAATACATGGCGCTCGACCAGAAGGGATCTGCCATGGCAGAGTAAGCTAATTAATGGAATACTTTTTTCCCCTCTTTCAAAATCTAATCCTTTACAAAGGTACATCTGGATCGATTCCACTGGCGGTACCCGTTCCAAGTCAAAGGTGAGCAAAAATACCCAACACACATACCCGCGGCTTTGCGCCTCAACTCAAAATCCTCAACAAAAATTCCAAAAAATACCTCAAATGAGTCATGTTCTAATATGATTGTTCTATTTACAGACTCTCACCAAGATTCCAGAGAGCGGTCAATTCACTCTTGATGATCTCCCAGAATGGAACTTCGATGGTAGTTCGACAGGTCAAGCCCCCGGTGACAACTCCGATGTCTACCTCCGCCCCGTCGCAATCTTCCCAGATCCATTCCGTGGTGCCCCAAACATCTTGGTCTTGACCGAGTGCTGGGATCCCGATGGAACCCCAAACAAGTTCAACTACCGTCATGAGGCTGCCAAGCTCATGGAGGCACACAAGTCACACGAGCCATGGTTCGGTTTGGAGCAAGAGTATACTCTCCTCGATATGTCCGATAGACCTTACGGATGGCCAGTAAATGGCTTCCCAGGTCCTCAAGGCCCATACTACTGTGGTGTTGGTACCGGCAAGGTTTTCTGCAGAGATATTGTCGAGGCTCACTACAAGGCATGTTTGAATGCTGGCATCAAGATCTCCGGTACCAACGCCGAGGTTATGCCAGCTCAATGGGAGTTCCAAGTTGGTCCTTGCGATGGCATCGAAAGTGGGTACTCCCCTGTTTCCATTATCAATCTGAATAATCACTGACTCTTATTTTAGTGGGTGACCACCTCTGGTTGGCTCGTTTCCTCCTCAACCGTGTCGCTGAGGAATTCGGCGCCAAGATCTCTTTCCACCCCAAGCCAATTCCAGGTGACTGGAACGGTGCTGGTCTCCACTCCAACTTCTCAAGTGCTGAGATGCGTGTAGAGGGAGGTATGAAGCACATTGAGGCTGCTATCAAGAAGCTTGAGGGTCGCCACAAGGAGCACATTGCAGTTTACGGAGATGACAACGCCATGCGTCTTACTGGCAGACATGAGACCGGTTCCATCGACAGTTTCACTTATGGTGTCGCCAACCGTGGTGCATCCATTCGTATTCCAAGAGAATGTGGTGCCAAGGGTTACGGATACTTTGAGGATAGAAGACCCGCTTCAAATGCCGACCCATATCAAATTACTGGTATTATGATGGAGACTGTAAGTTTTATTTCTAATCAAGTGGCAAATGAATTCGACTAACCAAGTTCTAGATGTTCGGTGGACTCGATGGCACTGAGGTTAAGAAATAGATTGTTTTTTGCGTGTAACAATGGTTGGGTGGGAGAAGGTTGATAATGGCTTGGCGATAAGGTCTATTTTCGTTGCATTTTGAAGGTCAAATCCTTCTCGTCGATCTTGCTCTTAAGTTAGCAAGATAGTTACTTTTTAGATGGTTGACCTAACTGGGAGAGAATGAAACTCAGATAACATTTATTCTTTTCTCTGACACTTTGATACTTTTTGACATGCTGGCCTGTGCCCATCCCTATCCACTCGACCCTGTCTTTAGCTAAAGCTGGGGATATTCTAATCTTACAGTAGTATTTACCCCACAACTTCTCCGGATTTCCCTTCCCCAGATAGATCCTCATTATAGTATAGTATGTCTATGAAGTAGAGAGTCGCGTGATAATCGTAATACATAATATACATACTGGCGCACGTCATCGTCATCGCCAACCATCCATCCATCCATCCATGAACGTTCTCGTCGTGCTTTCATATCTCCATCTCTTCATCCCCCCACACGTCAATATATACCAAATTCATCATTCATAACCCTTGTCTATTTTCCTTCCCGTCATTGTTGGAGATATCTCATAGCCCAACACAACCACCTCTTCAGGTATAATTTTCACTTTCTCCTTTCCAGAACTCTTTTCACTTCCATATTCCTTCTACACCCCTTCAACTTAGTTTCCATTAATCTTCTTCTCCTCCTCCTTCAAGGCCTCCACCAATTTCCCCCTCAAGAAATCTGGCAATCCGAAAATGCCCTCACGTGTTACTATGCGGTAGGTTCCCGAGTCTTGCCAATTTCCAGGCGCTTTCCCAGAATCTCCTTCGACGAATTGTCCGGTCGCGTCGACTTCGAGAGATCCGAATATGTCTTCGGGGTAGGCGATGCGGCCGTAGTCGGGGGGTGCGCGCGTATCCGAGAGGTGGATGTAGCCGCCGTGGCCGCCGGAGCCGGCGCCGCCTTGGGGGAGGGGTTAATTATAGGTTTGGGGAAATGGGAAAAGGGGAGGGAGGGGTAGTGTGTGGTAGATGGAGATGGAGGGGAATTTGGGAGAGGGGAACCGGAGGAAATACCTTGACTGGCACTAGGTGGCGCTCCGGAATCTTTTCCTTTTGAAGACTTTCCGCCTTTGTTTTGACGATAGGATGATGGGGGTGAGAGGGAGAAGTGAGTCGTGGTGGTGGCGAAGGCGGCGGCTTGCGAATGGAGTTGTGGATCTAGATGGGCGTATTTTTGGAGGATGGTGGAGAGGAAGGGGAGGAATTGGGGATTGGGAGTGAAGGATTGAGGGGTGATGGGGAGGGTGGTGGTGGTGCCGAGGGAGAGGGATGTGGTTGGTGGGGTGGTGGGGAGGAGGGTTAGAATGTGGGTTTGGGGGGAGGAAGAGGTGGGTGGGTGGATGTACTAGAAGAGGGTTAGCTTTGCTGAGTTGAGGGCGGGGGAGAGAGGGGATTAGATTTATTGAGTTGGGGATGGGGAGAAGGGGAGAAGAAGGGGGGGGGGTTGACAATAAGAGGGGTAACAAACAATATTAGGATTTTCCTTTAATGTTGAGACTGAGCGTCGTATATTCGAACATGTAGTTGTGTGGGATCGAGTTATTGCGCGCAATGTATGCGGCAATGCGCGAGAGGTTGAGAGTAACATTTTTGTTGGATGATGAGGAGATGTTTATTGGTGGTGAGGGGTGAGAGCTGGACATGTAAAGTATTTAATTTTTCGATAAGATATCAAGGCGTGGATTGCTCGATTAGGAAATTAGCTTGAGGGAGGATTAGTAAGCGAATGAACAGGGCTGGTGTGTAGGTAGGTATCTTTTTGGGAATTGAAATTTGATACTTTTCTGGATTCATACTATAATTGTGATCATTCTTTGGACTTGTGGGTTTGGCAAATACTGCAGAGATGATTGATGGTATCTGGCAATCATGTGAGAGGAGGGTTGAGTAGAGTTACTCAATAGTCGGTAACTTTAGATCGATGCTCGTATGGTACAAAATCGCAAGACGAGTGAATGTTGAAGGGGGAGCACAATCAACGATACAATATGGACCCCGATTGAATTATACCGAGAATTACATGCTAATGACTACCATCATAGTAGAGGAGGTGTATATAAGTTCCAGTATATGACGACATAAACATTCTCGAAACTTTCTGAATTCACTCGAGAGTTGATTACTAGGTACCCGGGTAGGTTTCCATTCTTCTGATTTCGTCATAACTCTATTACGTCGCTAATTGCACGTTAGATTGGTATAGACTTTGGATGAGTACCGATACATGTCTGGCTCCTATGTAGGTTATGCGAAAGGCTGGAATGTAGGTATCTAATACGAAATATGAAGTCATTGACTGCTATTGTATGAGTGCATTGATTGCTTTTCTGTGCTTCTCGATGATTTGACACTATAAATAGGTTGGGAGTTTTCCCTCGTGAGTGGTAGAAAAATAGCATTAAAATTGTATACTCGAGTACTATCATCTCAACATTACCTCTGTCCCCTCATGACATGGAGCAAATCGGACGAATTATATGAATATATGTTAATTTACAAAACTTACCTACCTACCTCCTGTCTTTACTTCTTCTCCTCCCCCTTGCACTAATAAAGCTTTCAATGTTACACTACTACGGTCCCCTTCACTTCCCCAGATATCGCTAAAAGTACCTACCTACCTAGAGCTTCCCGCATCGACCACCTCTGTCGGATTCTGGTTGAGAGCGGGAACCACAAATCAACTTTTCCTCCATAAGGTTTCTCAATTTTTTGAATTCCAACGGAAGACTCTTTCAAATCATTCACTCAATAATTCTTACACCCTTGAAAATATTTCTGACTCTTTTACTTCTGACTCTTCAAGTATTACTCACAACAGGTGATTCACATTTAATTCGAAGCTTGTATCAACCTAGTACCTGCTGAAAGCCACCAGAAATCATCTTTGGTGGGGTTGAAGCAACGACAACGGAACAATTACCCCGAGTCAATCAACCACCATTCAACCACATTGAAATACCCTACAAACGTAGCCATGAATCGTTACGATGACGGCGAGCTAGAGATATCTCTGGCACCATCTGCAAACGCTCGCGCACAACACAGAGCCTCGGACGCCGGCTCACACTCACGTCGTGATTCGCAAAATGGAAACAGCAGGAGGATGGAAACGGTTCCGGCACCGCAAAGAAAGACGGAGCAGCGAGTGGGCGCATACTCAGTCATACGTACGCTTGGAGAGGGTTCCTTTGGAAAGGTTAAATTGGCGGTCCATCGAGTGACAGGTCAACAGGTTGCGTTGAAGATTATTGGAAGGAGGAAGTTGATCAGTCGTGATATGGCTGGGAGAGTGGAGCGAGAAATCGAATACCTTCAGCTTTTGAGACATCCTCATATTATCAAATTGTCAGGATTGCCCCCGCTATGCTTATTTACTTGGTAGCTAACTATACTTTCCCAGGTATACCGTCATTAAAACGACCTCCGAGATAATTATGGTTCTTGAATATGCCGGAAATGAGTTATTCGAATATATCGTACAACATGGAAAGATGAGAGAAGATGAAGCCAGGCGGTTTTTTCAACAAATTATCTGCGCAGTCGAATATTGCCATAGACATAAGATCGTACATCGAGATCTAAAACCCGAGAATCTTCTTCTTGACGAGAACCTAAATGTCAAAATCGCCGATTTCGGACTTAGTAACATCATGACGGATGGAAATTTTCTCAAGACAAGCTGCGGAAGTCCAAACTATGCCGCACCCGAAGTCATTAATGGAAAATTATACGCTGGTCCTGAGGTCGACGTCTGGAGTTGTGGTGTCATATTATACGTTTTACTTGTGGGAAGATTGCCTTTCGATGATGAACATATTCCCTCTCTATTTGCGAAAATTGCTAGGGGTCAATACAATGTCCCTAGTTATATGGGTCGTGAAGCTGCCGCGTTGATCAAGAAAATGTTGGCCGTCAATCCGGTTCACAGAGCTACCATTGCCGATATCCGAGACGATCCTTGGTTTACTACAAATCTACCTGCTTATTTACAACCTCCGGTGGAAGAATTTATTGATACAGGTGTCGACCCGGCAAAGGCTATCAATCCCCGAGCAATTGCACCTCATGCCAGCCCAGCCATCCAGGAGAAATTACATGTACAAGTTACTGAAAAAATTAGTAAGACGATGGGTTATGGTATCAAAGATGTTCAAGAGGCTTTGGCTGCGGAAGAACCTTCGGCCATTAAAGATGCGTATCTTATTGTTCGGGAGAATAAGTTGATGCAAGCTAATCGTAAGTTGCCCATTACTTTGAAAATTTCGGTGTTGGTATAAATTAACAGTCAATCAGCAAATCTCTTCGATGATAAAAATCAACTTCTTTTCCAGATTCCCTCACCTCCAGCATACGACTCAGCAATTCCCCCCTCATTACCTAATTCGCCTTCGGTTGCCATTAAGGAGCGACCCGGTAATGTTCAACCAGCAGTTGCGCCATTTCAGCCTCGGCCTAGCCCCCTTCTTGATGCCGTATCGCCAAGATCCAGTAGTTCTATTGGAACTGATAGATCATTTGGTCGACCATATGTTAGCAAAATCGGAATTTTGCCAAGCAGTATTCCACAATACCATAAAGAGTTTATGGAAACGCACAAATCTGGCCATCAGGAGAGTACTCTGTCAACATCTCACTCAGAGGTCATCGAACCATCACCTCAAACAGACGCTGAAAAAGCCGAAACAGTTCGCCGCTTGAATCCACACTCTAGAGCTCTGGCGAAACTCGATGAAGGTAAGAAACCGGCAGGTATGACTCCAGTTCCATCGAAAAAATCAAAGCCCACAAAATGGCAATTTGGGATTCGATCTCGAAATCAACCTCTTGAAGCAATTGGATGCATTTATAGAGCTCTTCAAAAGCTTGGTGCCGAATGGTTAGTCGGCGATGAATGGACACCTGGTCAGAATGAAAGTAATGGGAACAATCGCAATGATAATAATAATGACAATGATCCAAATGGAAGTGGAGCCTCTCTGCATCGCGAAACTTCTATGAATGATACCTCATCGAAGAGAAATAGATTCAGTGGTATGGATAAGCAAGGAAACTACAAGTTACCGGAAGATCCATGGGTGCTTCATGTCCGTTGGAAGAAAACTGGTAAGTGATTTCTCAGTCATTTGAGAATCTCTTCTAACTTTTGATAGACATCCGACGTCATTCCATTGCTTCCCTGAACAGTTCAACTTCTAGTCCCGCACTCCCCTCCTCAATGCCAAAAGATGATGAATCTGATGCAGGCGTCATCATGCATCTCGATATCCAACTCTATGAAATGGAACCCAGTGTCTATCTAGTGGATTTCAAATGCGCAGGATATGAAACTGCAAAGGGTATGCTGTGCGAGGAAAAAGATGTTACTAGTCCTTTCCCTTTCTTGGATTTGGCTAGTAAATTAATCATTCAATTGGCGGAAGCTGATTAGATGGTTCGCTAATCATTGAATGGTCGACTCTCTTTGGTTTGATAATACTTTTCGTGAAATATGAAATACAATAATGAGCAATGAAAATTTCATATGATTATTTCTTTGGTATGGGAAGTGAGCTTGGAATGTGGATGTGGATGGAATCGGCTTCGGGGAATCGGGTATTAAAATTGTGGCTGGTGGGTGATTCTATACCTTACTGCTACTACCTCGACTCGACTTGATTGGCATACTGCCTTGTGTTTATTACGAATGGACTGGCGAATTGCATGGACCGGAACGGATTGAAATGGATGATTGAATTGAAAGGGGAGTAGTCGGAGTTCTATGCGGTCTCGCAATTTACAGGCTGCCTTTTTCTTTTATTATCATGGAAGTATTTACTACTATTCAGGGAACTTTGGGAGAGAAACATGTCTTATTTGTGGCTTGCTTGACTTGAATTTGGGAGAGGTTATAGTTCAGAGAGGGAGGGCATGGTGGAGAGTGATAAAGAAAGTTGAAAGCAGACGTGCCTGAAGATTGCTAAAATTCAAGAGTGATGCAAATACAAATATAGCTGAAGAGATTTAGATGTCCGAATCTGGTTTACTTGGATGTTACAGTCTTACAGATGATAAAATTGAACGGGAACATGGTTGCGAATATTATTGTTGAGACTTGCTTGGACTTAAGGGCTTGAATTGAAATTGAACTGCGCACTTCCCTTGATGATACAGAGACTTAGTAGTCTTTGAAATGGGTGGGAGAGAAAGCAAAGTCTAATTGCGATTACAGGTGGATGGATGGATGGATGAATGAATGGATATATCTCTTGAAAATCCGGAAAGGAATCATTTCGCTTAGCTGCACATCAAACTGAAGAAGAGTAGATGGCTATCTAGCCAGTCAGCCACCCCCCACAATCTCCTCACTCCCCTCCTAAACCTAGCCACAAGTTACGACGTCGTCTCCATCACCCCCCTCTATCTTTTCCCCGGCGCAAAAGTATCTTCCCGTTCATGACAGCCATCGCATCTCACCATCCCTTTGCTAGTCATCACCTCTTGATCCACGCAAAGGCATTCGATATCCACCACCCCATCCCCCAGTTCGGAGACATACCAAGTATCGCCACGACGAGCAGCCATCTCTCTGTAAACCCTTCCATTCCATCTCCTCGCCAGCGCAAATCCAAGCCAGACCGTAGCGACATCGCCGAATATATGAAAAATCCCTCCTCGCTGCTGGAACCGCGCATGAATATCGCGAGATTCTCGCTCGAGCTACTTCTCGAACGCGGCGCGCAGATAAAGGGGGGCGGTGCGTTGGCTCTGGCTTTTGCGGATGAAGAGGGAAGGTTGGAGATTGGAAATTGGAAGTTGGGGGATGTTTATTGCGGAAGGGCGGATGTGGAATGTGGATGGATACGGGAGTTAGGATTGAGGATTGAGGATTGAGGATTCGTAGGATGAGGGGGATGAGGGGGATCTTGGGGAGGATGGAGGGGGTGAGAGAGAATACTTGAGTGATTTGCGTGTGTATTGTTATCGCGTAAGTGTCTTTGGTGGGATGAATAATAGTATGTTTTTGGATTCCCTATCAATGGACATACTTGTTTATTCTATTATTTTTTTACTCAACCCACGGGAAAGTAAGATATTCAGTATCCCAGAACCTCGACTTCGGGTTTCAGCTTGAGACGTTATGGGGGGTTTCCCTTCTCTTTTCTTCTTTCCCAATTTTGTTACATGATGAATTTGGGTCCAACATTTAACATCACTTGCATGATATTACATGTACCATTAGAACGACTTGGACGAATCGATAAATAGATGGCAACTCGCTGGGTATCATACAATCAAATACGTAATATTCTCTCCTCCATCCTGGTCTCGTGCTGTTGGTCCACACCCCCAAATCAAAACCCATCTACAACCTCCCCTTAACCCACTCAACCCAAACCCCCAAATCTTCACAAACTTCCAACATCCTACCCAAATCATCTCTTGTTAATGTTCTTGCCTTTCTTTCTTCTCCCATTCCATCCATCACCTCATCCTCTCCCATTCCATTTAGAATATTCTCCTGTACAACCACCACCCCCCCATTTCCCTGAATTTCGAAGATCACATTCGCGCTCCTCTTCTTGAACTCAAATACTATTTCCACTCTGGGTACTGGAGTTAATGTTAAAGAAACATCTAGATGCGTTGATTCTTCCTTCTTCTCCTTTTTTGGTTCCTTCAGAACCGGTTTTGGCGTTGGCGATGTAGTGATACTTTTCATAAAGTCCTCGAACTCCTGTTTCTTTGTCGGAGGGTTTATCGTATCCATTTCGGGAGATTTTGATAGTGTTTCAGGTCTTGATGGACCCTTCGATTTGGATTTTGAACTTCCCTCGGCCTCAAAACTTTTCCTCAGCACAGTACTTAACAAAGCAAATTGTCTTAAACATGGCAAGATCTCCACCAATTGCCTAGGGTGACTGAACGATACTTCTTCTACCTTTCTTCCATAATCAATCTTCTCAATATACAACGTATTGATATGTTGCTCTACTTTTTTCCTTCCCTCTCTATCCCAAACCGAGATATGTTTCTCTGTGGTAATAGTTCTGGCTTGTGTCTCGTTAGTCTTCAAAGCTTCCTCCGCACTCAACGGAAACATAAGTCCATCAAACGTTGTGATTTCTGAAAAATCAAAGGGCGTTTGCGTCGATTGGTATATCTGCATCGCGATAGCATATGGTACTATAATCGGCGGATCGAATTTCGCAACAAACATTGCTTCTGGAAATTTTTGCGTCCCGTCGTTCAGATCATTTGTCTTGATATCGGAATTTGTCGGTAAAAGAGTATTGTCAGGTTCCAACCAATTCAAGATCGGTCCCCCTTGCAATTGGGCTGCTCGGAATAGATCATCGACTGCCGGGTTGGCTTGCTGAACATCATCTGATATCCATTTATCAGATACGCGCAAAGGAGTATATACACCCACCACCAATGAAGGTAATGGTGCAACCTCTACCAATAACGACCATGTCTTTCTATTCTGTTTCTTCCCCTTTGTTGGGATCCGCCGTTTCTCCTGCCAATAATCAAGACTTAAACCTAGTCTTTCTCTTGAATGCATAATCGGTATGCCACTCCTAGTACACATCGCAGCCCTCACAATGTCCTCATCCTCCATTCCCAACATATCAATCTCCTTCAATCTTCCTAACTCCCAAATATGTAACTTATGCAAACTGCAAAAGATTCCCGCGACCGCCTCATGGCAATTGAGTCCAGGTATGACACTCAATTTATCCAACATAGTTAATCTCTCTAAGTTTGCCGCAAATCGATCCAGCATTTTGGTCAACGGGCTCTCTCCAGCCTCAAATTGTAAATCCCTCAACAGTATATCTGAAGCTGTCTTCTCATGTTTGGTTACTGATTCCGGCGCATCGGGGAACGAGAGTGAAACTTTCTGGACGATATTATTCGCAAAATCGATATCAAGCGCAAGAGCGTTCCCTGCTATGATAAGCGTGCGTCCATTACTGGCGCTTCCCATCATGTCTTCCCACAAGCATTCTAATCCAACTCTGCGTGCTAATCGTTCCAGCCCTGCCTCACTAAGTCGTCCTTTATTAGGCTGTACAAATTGCATTAGCATTGCCCAATCAAACCAATCACAAATAACATCTCCCTCTCTTTCTGCCATTTTAACCTAGCTGAACTCACTTTCAGAATTTCTACACAGCCCATCAACCTCCTCCTCTTCTCCTCTTCATCCTTTCCCGGCCCACCACCCAACACCCCAATTCCTTGCAAGTCAATGCCCAAATCCCCTACAACATCCGCACCCATCCCCAGCGCCAACGCTGCAGACGGACTATCAAATCCCACCATCCCCATATTATATGCTTGATTCGACATTGAGGTTCCTGCAGGACTAGATTTTTTGATTTGAGAGGGAGATGGCACAACAGAACGCGGTCCATGGGGAGAAAAGGCTAGATGAGATGTAGAAAATGGGGTTGAGACAGGAGGTGTCGCTGCTACACCGGGGTACTTTCCTGGCGTTGGAGTCGCCATTTTGATGGCGGTTTGTTAATGTGCGATGACTTGTGGTGCAAAAAGATATATTCCTGTTGAAACGGGAGGTAGAAGGATTGAAGAACAAAGCACTTGTAGCTTCAGAGCTGTGAGGTTCCGTACGGTCGCGGCTATATTAATTGAGTCAACATAAATTATAATCGCATATACAATCTAAGCTGGTATATGCGATTTCGTAACTCGAATAGCGTAGATAAATATAGAGGCCGCTCAATGAACCCATTACGTTTTGAATGAACAAAAGATATTGAGCTCATGATGATATTGAGCCTGGTGCGGATATAGCGGCCGCAATGACCGCATCTGTCTTGGTTCTTGGCAACAAACAAACCATGTGATCGCGGTTACTTTCTGGAGTTTGTCCTCATTCACATATTGAATATCTTGACAGTAGTTATGAGAGTAATCAAGTATTGGTGAATAATTCTAAGAGCACCAAGTGGAGATATGGAATTTCACATCACGCTACACACATCACAAACAAACATACAACAAGCATTGAATTGCGAGTCGTAAAAGGGCTAAAATTCAAGACTACTACAACTATTAATCATACACAAGGGCTTTCTGCTTCCCTGCTCTGTTTTGCTCTGCGTAAGTGTCGCCGCTATCTCAAAATAACACTATCATCAAAAATAGTAGTATACTATTATAATCAATACTTTCGCTTTTTTGATCCATTATTCATTATCCGTTATCCATTGTTCGTTATTGATCACTTAGCAAACTTCGAAGTTTCAGCTCCACCGGGACCGGCTTCCTTTGATGTACGGGGTTTAACGGATGAAGGATTTGCAAAAGCCTTCTTTTCCTTTTCTTGCAACAAAAGGCGTTCAAGCTCCTCTTGAATCTCTGCAGCATTCTTCACGGCGGCTGGAGGAGGTGAAGGTGGATTTGAACATACTGTACCAG